TTTTTGGAAGCTAGCAGAGTATTGTAGATTTTAGTAATAAGGCCTTTGTCTGATGTGTCATTGCTAAAGATGTTTTCCCAGACCATGGGCTCTTATTACACTCTTGGTGAATTCTTTCCATGTACACAGGTGTTTTATCTTCAGTATATTCCACTTGTCAATTTGTGACTCATCTGTATTTATGTCCTTCCTTATTTCTGATAGCCTATGTATTATTCCCTGCGCCTAAGTTCTCAGGTTGGTCCCACTTCCCAAGGTCTGTGATCCACCTTGAGTTTATTCTAGTGCATGGAGTGAGATAAGGGTCTTGCTTCATTTTCCTGCAGGTAGATATCCATTTTTTCCAGCACCACTTGTTGAAGAGGGCATCTGCTTCCCATTTGGTATTTTGGGGGCCCTTATCAAAGATCAGTTGTCTGTGTGCTGATGGTTTTATTTCTGGGTTTTCAGTTCTTTTCCATTGCTCTGAGTATCTGTCATTATACCAATACCATGCAGTTTTGACCACTGTGCCTGTTTAATATGTGCTAAAGTCAGGGAAAGCAAAATCTCCCATGGTGTCCTTCTTCTTTAGGAATTATCTGCTAATTCGTGGTTTCTTCCCTCTCCATATGAAGTTGGTAATCAATTTTTCCATTTCTTTGAGAAAAGATGAGGGTAGTTGTATTGGGATTGCATTAAACATATATAGTGCCTTGGGCAGAGCTGATATCTTTACTATATTGAGTCTTCCAATTCACAAGCATGGGATAGTCTAACATTTGTTGAGGCCACTCTTGATTTCTTGTAATATAGTTCTGTAGTTTTCCTCATATAAATCTTTTGTTCTTTTAGTCAGGTATATCTCTAAATATTTGAATTTGTGCTTGGCTATTGTGAAAGGTACTACCTTTTTTACCTCCTCTTCTGTGGTCTTATCTGATGTGTATAGCATTCTAATAGACTTCTGTTTGTTGATCTTATAACCTGCCATATTCCTCTATTGCTTCCAATACTCCCCTTGTGGAGGTTTTGGGATTTTCCATATATAAAATCATATCATCTGCAAATGAC